TTCTTCTTTTGCCTGTCTATTGTCGTCCATCCAAATAGCTGTTAAGCTAAGTTTTATGCACTTTTAATTGTCGAGGCTGTTATGAATTTGACCCAACTGTAGCTTAACTGGGCCAACTTCCAGCATTCTTCCTGAAACACTGAATAGCGTCGTGTTTACTTGTGTGATTATATTAGCTCCTGTCACGCTGGGGATTTATTTTTAGGCAAATGTTCTGAAAGGGCACTAACCGCCTGTAGTTGCCTACGAGCACGTCTTGATATTGCTACGGAATAATGCGCAATTCTCCTTGCAGATAACAACAAATTTGCATATTCTTTTCCTGGACGTCGATTATTCAACGGCTCAACAAAAGTATCACGAGAACTCACAATTACCTGCGGAAGAAAAAGCGCTTGCCGATGCTCGCTTTCTTTCAAAACTCTCTCACTTCTACGAGGAATCTATGGTGCTTACTGAAGTCCTAGACTCTCAGACACAGTTGCACAAGGTGAGATGCGTTAAAAAATGCAGTTGTAACTTTCTGCGTGCGTTCCAGTGCGGTAGATTTTGTTTATCAGGGATAATTAACCATTTTTGTGTTGTAAGGATTTGCCAAGAAGAGCCAGATTTACACAGTAGATTGCATTGGGTAAAGTCACAACGAGAAGGCATGTTATTTGAAGTATAATATCTCATAGGGTTGATTCCTGCAAGGGCACACTTTACAACTGCAAATGTCTTTGCAGTTACTTCCTGATTAAGGTTGGAAAAGTATCTTTAAATTGGCTATTTTCACATAAAATGCTTTCAAAGTTTATTGAAATAAGTTCTTATGTAAGCCTGAACGACATTGCTATTTTACAGAGCCCTTAACATCTCTTCTGAAAATTGCTGAAAATAAAGGTATTAACACACGAAAGGTATGAGTAATGTTGTCCGTCGTGATACCGGGTCACACAGAAGCCGCCGACTTTCTAACAGTTCCGTCAAACTAATTATTTAAATAAGTTATACTCACTCCTGGATTCTCTCGGCTCCTTGCAGCAAACCCCAACCCATCCAAAAAGTAATATATCTGTCTATCATAGGTAATTATAGCAGCCTTTCTGAAATTTCGTTTCCGTCATAACCTGACAGTTTCATCCTCTCAAACAACGCAGCTCAGTCTGTGCTCCAGGAGGTGGTCGGTGCAGAATCATGACGTGCGCGTTAATTTACTCCTAGGGCGTCAGAGTTGCCTTACATCAGTCACATTCATTTCTCCCTCAATCGCCTGGCCTGGTAGGCAAAACGGATTCGGGAAGATCGGACGTGAACCCGAACACAGCGTCTGATGAAGCTAGGTAGTCCGTCTGTGAGTACTGCGCACGGATCGGTCCTATAGAATGTGCTCAGATTTCAAATGCCTATTCCTATCTCATATAATTGGGGGTGCCATAAAGGCAGCATTCACAAGAAGCCATTGAGCTTGACTGTGAGTTTTGCGAGAATTAAGTAACCTCGTCAGGTGACAGTCTTTGACTTGTTGTTATAGTTTCAAATGCGTATGATTATAGTGAGAAATTTGTTGATTTGCCCTGGGTCTGTATCCCTAGAGTGCAACTTACTTGCTCTACCCTTTCTTATACACCAATCCACTGTCCCAGCTTGTAAGCCATCTGATGTTGGGGAAGAGCGCGGTGGCTGGCGCGGCGAGAAGCCTAAGAATAGCTATGCCACCGTAAACCCGCATGTACGCTCGTGCCTAAAGCGAACCATTAAAACAGGCCACGAGGTAGATGTGCTTGACCAATGGGGAACACGGAC